CTGGTTGAATGGTATATAAATTGGTTTTATACTGTAAAGGTACTAGTTTTAGTACTTATATATGTCTCTAGATTTTATTACTGTTGTTTATTATTATAATGTTTGTATGAAATACGTTTTGTGGGTTTATTTTGTATTTTGTTTGATACGTTATATTGAGAATTCTCTTTTCACGTGTGTTTTTTTATATTTTGCAAAATTAGTTTTATTTAATGTGTAAGGGTTAATTTATTTGATTCAATATTGGTTTGTAATTGCTTTGTATGTATTAAACTTTAAAGGGCAATTTTCATGGTGACCACTAAATGTTAATCTTTGTTATAGGGTTAAGCATATTTTCGTCTTAATATTTGTTGCAGAATTTCTAGTATGATAACGTTTTATAGTGAGATTTGATTTTGCGCTTTCTACCACGTTGAATGGTGTGATTTCACTGTTAAGGTGTATTTATTTTGTGTAATTGTTGTTGAAACGTTTTTTCTTGGTTTTGTTAAAGAGTTTTATTACTATGAAATTATCAGTTGATACAATTATTGAGATTTTCTTTGTTAAGGGATTGTGTCGTCTGTGTTACAACCAAGTGTTTACAGAAGCAAGAGAAAGCTACAATACTTCTAAGTAAGTACACATGTATAGATTTTTAAATTTAATTGTCAGTTTTAGCACAAGCCCTGAAGTAAAGAACAAAGGCAAAGTGTGGTATTCAAACATATCTTCTTATTCAGTTAGTTATTCTGATATGTACAGTTTTTTTCACAGAACACACACTCAACAAAGTCGTTAATTTGATTTCATTCTAGTTGCCTTTGTTCCATTGTCATTCTCTAGAAATAACACCCGTTCTTTCCATGAGAAGTACTGTTGTAATGCTGCTGCACATTGCACTACAGTTGTAGTCTCCAATGATAGGTCGGGTACTATCTTGAGATTATAACCTCCCTTAGTTTTGAGTGTAAATGATCAGGCATGTGTGTAGCACTAGTCACTTTGAATAAAACTGATCTCATCCATTAAGTAAGGAACATTAGATTTAAACAGTTTGCTGAACGATCTTGAAGGAGTCAGTTGAGATAGATAATAGTTCGAAGCCAGTAAAATTGTACATCTATTTGTGTTTTCTGTGGTAGAAAGGACTTGAAACTGGGAAGGTTCTAATAAAACCAGTGTAATGGTAATGAGGAAGCAAGGTCTTGAAACTGGATACATTCTAATAAAACTAAGGTAATGGTTATGTGGTAGAAAGGTCTTGAAACTGGATAGATTCTAATAAAACTAATGTAATGGTAATATGGCAACAAGGTCTTGAAACTGGGGAGTTTCTAATGTGTGGGTTGAATAGGGGAAATAAGTCACTTTTATGATAACCTTATGGTTCAGAAAACTAACTGTATAAAAATAATTATCATAAGTGTTTACAATATTATAGAGTTTTAACGTTTAATAATGAAAGACTGACCTGGGATATTTTTATTGTGTTCAGTTAAAACATTTTGGTAGTTTATGAGCTATCAACATCTATTCATTTTTATTTGTAATAGAAAGACATATATTGTTATTTTTCTGCAATATCAAGTGATATCTGACGATGTTTATTTAACATACAAAGACATTATAATTATTTCAATTCTTAATAAGTGGCGTATGGTGGTAATTATTCTTAATATTTTGATACGTGTGCTGTATGTGATATTATGTTTTTTGTATGATCAACGACACTTAATGATGTTTATGTTTAGTAGGAAAATCGTAAGATATATATTATTAGTTTTACACTTTCATCTGACAACGATTTTTAAAAAATAAAGATACAAGCTTTATGTTTATATTTGTGAAATAAACATAAATAACATCTAAGTGTTTTTTTCCTTTTCAATTTACGATTATCGTAGATATTTTTTAGTCCAGTTTACTGTACAAGAAGTGTCTTCTGTCAACTACCGCTTTGTCTTGTGTCTTTTGTTATCTTGGTTGATTATCTTTTTTACCATTCTCAAACATGTCCGCTCCATTGGAAAAGTGAGTATAATATTGTCTTATCTACTTTTACTAGTGTAAATTCCTCTGTTTCTTAGTGATTTCTCTAGAGTAAAGGGGCGATAAAAATAAAATAAAAGTAATTGCAACTATAGTAAACGTAAAATAAAAAAATGTATTTTATCTGTTCTAAAATATCAGTAGGCGGCAATCTGAGATAACTATGTAGACGTGACTTTGCGAGAAAAAAAAGTGAACGCTACAAAGCGTGACGTTCTACGGTATGGAATGTTTATAATGTGAGTCTAAAGGTTATATATATATTATTACAGTTTAGGGCCTTCTAAAAAAGGAGGTATTTAGCTAAGGCCTATGTAAGCATCTAAAAATCTTCTGTTTCGTCTTTGTACATTATTTATTCTAGATGTGAAGACTCGGCTGTGATAATGACTATTCGTATAGATAATTTTATAAGGACCCAAAGTATTAAGTATCAGTTGTACTGTAGGCAGGCCTTAATTTCACATACTTTAAGGCATTATTTAGTCATATATATATTATTTTTTGTGTTATCAGTGATACTAAATGGTGTTAATTCTTAATAGGAACATCGTAAGATATATATTATTATTATTTGCAATATTACATGACAATGATTTTTTTTTGTAATAGAGATATAAGCTGTAGGTTCGTAATCGTGTAAATAAACATAAATAACAATTCAAGTTATTATTTCTTTTTAAATTTACTGCTGTTACAGACACACAAACTTCAACAGCATTCCCTAAAAATGAATAATCGCGACATTTAGACCAGGTCATAGCATTGGTCTTGGCTTACGGATAGGCCTAACGTCTACGGATTAATTTAGGTCAAACGTAGCACACACACACAAAAAATCTTTGTTAAGACTGATCAATAAAAACGAACTATAGAAATAATGGACTTAAACAGGATGAATTTAACATACATACCAGATGCAGGCTTATTGGTGGGAAAATGTGTTACGTTTTTGCTTCACTAATTTACATAAATAGTATTATGTAAAAAATAAGTTGTGACAGATCAAAATTATTACAGTTTCATTAATTTATTTGAGTAATAAAATGCCATAATTAGAACTCTTGTTTGCTACAAGGTGACAGGCCTGGTTTGGTTTGTTTTGAATTTCGCGCAAAGATACACGAGGGTTATCTGCGCTAGCCGTCCGTAATTTAGAAGTGAAAGATTAAAGGAAAGTAGCTAGTCATCACTACCCACCGCCAACTCATGGACTACTCTTTTACTAACAAAAAGTGGGACTGACTGTCACATTATAACGCACACACGGCTGAAAGGACGAACATGTTTGGTGGGATTGGGATTCTAACATGCAATTTTCGAGTCGAGCGCCCTAACCACGTGGCCATGCCAAGCTGCAGTTACAGGCCCATCTCTAGCCTGATACCCTGGCCCATACCTACTGACGACAGTACATTTGGGCCACTTTACCAGGCTAGACTATTCCCAATTATTTTCCATGCTTGGCAACTTCAGACCATTACCAAAAAGCAAATGACCAAGCCTGATGTGGCCCACTGGCAGCTTTTTGGGATCATTGTAATAGGGTTATCAAGTAAAAAACAAACAAAAATCAAATTACCTTTGTTGAATATTGAATTTTTAGCATCAACCCAATTATTAACACGTCATTTGATATTTCATTGTGCATAAGCATAGGAACTTATTTATAAATAAATTTATAATTTATAAAAAAAAATTGAAATTTGTATGCATATCTTTACTTGGGTTTATTAAAAAGATGCACATTTTCGCCTGATAGGATAGAAGCCGTTAATAATGTCTCAGAAAAATGTGCAATTTTAAGTGAACAGGAGATCCGACATGACATCTATTACAGAGTAATAATGAATACCTCTGATGCTAGAGTGAAATAAGAGACTGTACACAAGGTAACACAAAATAAAAATCTTTATTATAACAATATTACCATTACATTAGTTTTATTAGAATCTCCCCAGTTTCAAGACCTTGCTGCTGTGTTACCATTATATTAGTTTTATTAGAATCTCTCCAGTTTCAAGACCTTTCTACCATATTACCATTACATTAGTTTTACTAGAATCTCTCCAGTTTCAAGACCTTTCTACCACATAACCATTACATTAGTTTTATTAGAATCTCTCCAGTTTCAAGACCTTTCTACCACATTACCATTACATTAGTTTTTATTAGAATCTCTCCAGTTTCAAGACCTTTCTACCATATTACCATTACATTAGTTTTTATTAGAATCTCCCCAGTTTCAAGACCTTGCTGCCATATTACCATTACATTAGTTTTATTAGCATCTTTCCAGTTTCAAGACCTTGCTGCCATATTACCATTACATTAGTTTATTAGAATCTCCCCAGTTCCAAGACCTTTCTACCATATTACCATTACATTAGTTTTATTAGAATCTCTCCAGTTTCAAGACCTTTCTACCACATTACCATTACATTAGTTTTTATTAGAATCTCTCCAGTTTCAAGACCTTGCTGCCATATTACCATTACATTAGTTTTATTAGAATCTCTCCAGTTTCAAGACCTTGCTGCCATATTACCTTTACATTAGTTTTATCAGAATCTCTCCAGTTTCAAGACCTTGCTGCCATATTACCATTACATTAGTTTTTATTAGAATCTCCCCAGTT